ACACACACACACACACACACACACACACACACACACACACACACACATACACACGCATTATCTCTCCACAGGGCTTAAGGGATGAGTCATCAGTTTTCGAGGAAAGACTCGGAGTGCCACCGAGGCTCCTGACTTGTGTTTATTTACTGCATTATTGTTTTGTAAAGGATGGGTTGAGATACACGTCCAACCAGTCACAGCGTGCTGCAGATTCTTTTGTGCACAAAATGGGGATTAAGGCTGCTGTTTTTGTTGTCAAGGTTGGAATGACATCAGCTCACTGTTCAGGCCTACAACGACACATCTAACAATGACGATGGCATCACAGGTGCTACAGATGATGTCATTTTTCTATTTAAATAATATTTGCATTGTTTTTCATATTTGTGCAGCTGAATGGGAAAGCTTGCCCCTTCAGAATTGTGCCATATATAGAAGGTTTTGTACTCACATTTAGAGACACCTTACATCAAAACATCTGCTTTTAAAGGACAGTATTTACACTGGTCGGCATAAGTGGTGGAATCCGAGGCTCAAGAATGATGAGTTTATATCAGAAGGAGATGTGTATTGGTGTATCGACCGTTTTTGTTTCGATCGAGACTGCAGTAACTTTCTGTCACGGCAGCATTCTAAAGATGAGTCTTTTCCACCTCTACTCCGGGGGGCACTGCTTATATAAATCATTCACCTTTGACAAAGCAGAAGTGGATTCGGTAGCTCTGGTTAATGACTTGTTACTATAGCAACAGTGGCCGTCAGGCTGTCATCTTGGCTTAGTCAGAGCAGAGGGCCGATCTGCGGCAGGCTGCAGACCGGACAGCAAACGCACGGGGCCGTCTCTCTGGATCTCTGAGCAGCTGCCGATGCTGGTAATAAACTCCATCCAAACATCACCGGCCCTCTGCTGCTGCTGCGGCTCCTTTTCTGTCACAGATTCCACTTTGAAGCTTGTCTGGCTGTCAAACCAGACAGGGTGTTAATTCACTGTGAGACATGGAAAGAGCAGAAAAGCAAGAAGCAGAGAGAGCCAAGTAAAGTGCGTGGTACTGGAGGGTCTGTGATTACTGCTCCTAATCGGCATGATTCATGCACCAAAGAAGTATTCAGATTTTCTCTACAAGTGCCACACTAACACACATATTTAAAACACAGTGGACTCTTGTTAAGGTTTAACATTCTACTGTAATCAAGACACTGTAGCTGTTTGGTGTTATTCTTTGTTTGTTTTTGCTGTGGAACTTCAGTCTCACTCTGAAGAATGGACTCTTTCTTGTCTGTTCATCAGATTCTTTTCTTTTTCTGCAGTTTCTTGACCATTTACTGACAGGAATTGAAGATATCTGCGGACACTATGGGCATCACCACTGGAAGGACAAGTATGGATTTCTTTAGGAGCTGATATTTACTCTTGTAGATAGAAAATAGGTCACATTTTTTCATTAGTCAATAAATGGCCCAGATCCAAAGATGCTCAGGTTGATAATGTTATACAACTAATTATATCTTTGACCTAGAGAAACTGAATATGAATATTCACTCTTATTGTTTTCACTCCCACAGTATGTGAGATTATATGGGTGAATTATTGTGAGCTGTGACTAATTTCATCACTCAGCCAGTCTCATTTCATGTATGTTCCCAAAAAAAGAGAAAAAAAAGGCGCTTGACCATTTTTGTTCTCCTTCTCTCTGTTTTTATTCTCACCACCCCTCCTCCTTTTAGATTGAACCGCTTTAACAAGAAATATGTGAAGAAGTGCCTCATAGCAGGCGAGCGATCCAAGGAGCCTCAGCTGATTGCCTTCTACCACAAGATGGAGATGAAACAGGCCATTGAGCTGGTGGAGAGTGGAGGGGGCTCTAAGTTACCTTCTGCTGTGCCTTCCACTGTTTCCATGCTGTGAGTACTGAAAAGCGTCATGTTTGAGTTTAATCCCACAATTTAAACCGTTGCCATTGATGACAAAACTCACAGTTTGAATCTATTGAAGACTTTGACAATACATACATCTCATTCAAGCTGATATCGTCATCATAGCTCCTCTTTGTATTTAGTAACATTCAGCCGAAGAAGCCATCTGCTCCCAAACCTGCAGAGAGAGCTCTTCCACAGCTAACCAGAGGCCGCGAGGAGGAGATCAGAAAAATCCTCAGGACCAACCTGCAGAAGACACGGCAGAGGGTAAAAAGGCTGAAAGTCTCATTACTTATATGCTCATAGGTTACTGATATAGTTACATGTTATGTTATCATATATTTTTTGGGATATATTTAGTAACTTTGGTTTTGTTGCTTCAGTTATTGGCCGTAATCAAACTGTAACTTTGACTTCTGTTTTAAAGATACAAACAGATTTCTTCTTCCAGTGCTGTGCTGAGACAATGAGCATCATCACTGTGATAATGTGCCGGTTTTCTGATGTTTCTCAGCTGCGCTCCTACAACAGACACACTCTAGTGGCAGATCCTTATGAGGATGGATTCAATGACTTCCTGAAGAAGCAAAAGATGATGGAGCTGGAGAAGAAGGTAGGTAACAGTTCTAAGTGAGCTACCAACTCCTCCATGATCTGATATAGAAAAGTATTGTGGATGATATACGTTTTCCATTGCAGGACACACTTTGAGAAAAGCACTTAACTGCAACGAGTCAGCGAAAAAAAGCAGCTCCACCATCACATAAGGGAGTTAAAGGAATTTAGCCCAACTATTATTTGTGTTCTAATTAGAGTCCACCCTCTGACTCCCAAAATTAAATTTCTCCACACAAATAGGAGCTGATTAAATCCTACAGTTGAATGGTCCTACCACTGTCTTCCATTTCATCAGCCTGTAATTGGAAAATGAAATTGACTCCCGTTTAGGTTAAATCGAATGTGCTGGAAGCCACTGTGGACTCAAAGGGATTTCGGCACGCTCCAATAAACCAACGCATGATTTTAATGAGGTTTCCTAAAGACGACGATTAATGTTGATTCACTGAATTTTTGAGTAATTAAAGAAGTCGGAATGTTCATTTGTCGTCATTTGTCTCTCATCAATGCCTTTTTAACAATGGATATTTTCCAAAACAAGATTTCTTTGAGTTTCAGAGTTGTTGTTTTTTTTTAAATACCCAACGTTATTTTCTGATTTCTTAGATAAAAGAGATGACTAACTACCTGACGGTGCCTGCTGCTTCTCTGGACTCCCCCACCATGTGTAGATCCAGACTGGCCTCCGGTAAACAGCATAAATGGATTTATTTCCATCTCGCACAGAAGCTTACACATCTCATTGTCTGGTACAGATTGGATCCCGAAGCTTATTAACAAATAGATATGAGAGCCTCGAAGAACTCAGCATCTGTTCCCTCCTTCTGCGATAGATATTTCCTCACTGATGGAAATATATTTGCATGTGCCAGTCAGCATGTAAACCGGTGTGTGATTTCATTTTAGGCAGACATACTGATTTCATACCTGATCAGCTGCAAAAGGGAAGCAAAGTCTACCCAGGTATGTAGCCAGTGTAGGCAGGACTTACTCTATGTTGTGATGAGCCAGCAACACTTCTAACACGCATGCTTGCGAACATTCATTTTTCTTTACTAACGACAGATTTCTGGGGGATGGTTTAATTCTGATGAGCTTCAGAAACATAAAGAGTTATTCCAGCATGTATTGGACCATCTCTCATGGTGCAGTATGGTGCAGTATTTGTGTTGTACTGTGAGGGACTTCATGTTTGTGTGCTCCTGCAGGCTAACGAAAGCATGGTTTTGCTGTTCGGGGGGGGTTCACTTTATAATTGTGCCTCTGTCCTGCCTGTAGATCCACAAGCGTACAACATGAAGCCATCGCTGGATGGTGTGCCGACAATCAAGGTAGACCTGGCGTCTCCGCAGTCTCCGGACTCTGTGAACCTGTTGGACGAGTTCAAACGGGCCGGCCAGGAGGGACGAGAGGACGAGCAGGGCCTGATGATGAAACCTCCGGCAGAGCCAAGGGGAGCAAACCAGCACGGTAAAGAGGATGAAGCGAAAGATCCGCAGAAGCTAATGAGGTGTCTGAGTGACCCCGGTCCCAGTGCGGACGAGGATGAGGATGAACCCTTCCTGCCCTAGGGACCCTCACTGATTAAATGATCTCTTTGGCTCGCCAAAACCAAACAAGACAAAACTGCTTATGCTGTAAGAACCGGAAATAAAAAGAAAGAGCCTGAGAAAAAGTAGAGCCATTAGGTTATCGTCTTAGTCGCTTTTTATTTCCTGAGACAGGAGTGGAAGAGCCGCTGCTGGGCCTGCTGTCTCCGTTTTTTGGTTTGACAGTCTGAGATATTCAGGAAAGAACTATGCATAACCAAAGGTTTGGACTGTTTTTGTGTTAGATAATGTCATAGTAAAGTCATGTCAGTTTCTCCATTCTTTGCACAGTTCAGTTTTTATCATGGTTTTACGACCTCTCTGTCTTTGATGTCACCTCATGGTTAAGTGTAATTTACCAAATCTTTTACTTTCACTCACAGAACTCCTGTTTCTGTTTCTAATTGTCCTTCTGTCACTTGAAATTGCTGGAAATCCAAACATTTAGATGTAGCCATTGAAATATTGAGGTTTATCTGATGTCACACTTTTTCACTTAGTGCATTTTCTCTGTCTTTTTTTAAATCCACTTATTTGGAGTGAACTACTGAGCTTGTAATAGGTTTGGAGCAGTATTTGTAACATAGGTTAAAAGCCAGTCGTATTTATTCACTGTGGAAACCGCATTTAAAAAAGACAAAAACAAACGAAAAGAACCACAGTTGTTTAAAGTCAGGCCTGCAGACCATGGCTGTGTGCAGGAATTCTATGAACCCTCTTTGTTGTGGGAGAAGAGAGAGCTGAGATCTCTAAACAGAGTTAGGCTGAGTGTTGGGAACGCCTGTTGGACGGATGTTAAGGTTTTCCATCATACACACTCCCTCATCAAACTTAGATTGCTTTTCTCTGTGAGGGTTTTAGGTTCTGACTCCACTCAAAGCCCTTTAAAACTCAGATTGTTCTCATCCTATTAACAGCCAGATATTTTCAAATGTGTCAAGAATCTGCTCATGCCTCCTAACCTTCGGAAAGCTGTGGGCGTGTCATGGCAAAAAAACAAACAGACACTAATTCTATGCAGTATAGATGTATGAAATATGTAGATTAACTATAATATCATCTATTTACCATAGGTCTTAATGTTTAATGTTGAAAATCCCTTTTAAACCAAACTACTACTCCTACTACTGAATGCAAACTGGGGCATTAAGAAATATTTTAACATAAAACGACGTTTGCATATCTTGGCGAGACTCAGATGTAACTGTCACACTGCAGGGTTTTTTCTTTGCTCATTCTCAGCTGTAAACTATATGAAGCCCGACACGACTTAGCAACTGCTAAATCAAAGTTATTTGAAATGATCCACAATCACAGCTGAATAACCGTCTTAATTGTCATTGTCCGCCCGCAAGAAACCGGCTGGATAGATCCAACAGAGATGTCTTACTCTCACCATATTTCTGCACCATCTGAAGAGTTCATGTCCTTCTGTGGTGCCGTCTTGTGGAGGTGGCATATCAGGCTTGAGCTTTAGCGATCCCAAAAAAGACACAGGTATTCATTTGTATTATTCTTCATGATAACAATTAAAATAATTGAGTTAATAATAGGCTTGTACAGTAAAACAGCTATAAGCATGAACAGCGAAAGACAATACAGTAATATCAAATTGTCAGCCAAAAGTTTTGTAATAATCACAGCTCTATGAAATGTTCAGAATACAGAAATACTCTTTTTTACGCAGCAGCTCAGCCAGTTGGAATATAACACACTGTGAATTTTAGCTGTCGTTATGATTTTCATTCAATTGAAAAACAAACAGGGTTCATGTCTCCGTCACCATTTGTCACAGCTGAAATGAGATTTACTCTTACAAGTAGAATTTGATCAAAGAATAACATAATTTTATCGCCAAAAGAGTCTAATATCCCCACACAGATTGTCCAGGGTTCGTGCTGTGCCCTCATTGGTTGAATCTCAGCTGGGACTCTGCATGTTCACTGTGTGCATGCTCGGCTTCTCCAGCTTCACCTAATTCAGAAACATGCATTTTTGGTTCGGTTTTTCCCTCATGACTGCGAATAGAAGGTGCAGAATCAGGATTGATGGTGGCAGAGCAACATCAACCCTTTTCGTGCATCTTCAGTTGGTTTCCTACAGTGATTTTTTTTTATTCTCTTTTTTGCCATGACCACACACCTACTGTCCTTTCCAGCTCCTAAGAGGGTAGAGACTGCTGACAGATAAGAGGACCAAACCCTTTAACTTTTCATATGACTATATCAAATTTGGGATTTGCATTATATTTACACATGATCCAGAGAGAAAAATGTTTCAAAACCTTGAATGAGACAAATGACTCATGGAACCTTCTATGAACATTTTATCTCTGTTTTTAATGGGAAAAAAAAGCCACATTAAATCCATAAGTCCAAAAATTGTTAAGGAGCTGCTGCAGGAAGCACCACATGCTTTGAAAAGCATTATCTGGAAGAGAATGAGCGTGTTATGGCTCCTTTATGACAAGGATGAAACGAAGGGAGACCTGAATTAAAAAAACACCAAATTGATGATGACATTTACATGTTTACTTTACTTTATTCCAAAGACATTCATTTCTATGAAAGAAATGAAATTCTATTTTCATACTTTTCTTTTTCATACCAAATGCACGGTGTGGGCAAACATTGTCACACTCCCTGGAGAATAATGTTTGGTGCAGGGAACCTATCTGAAGCCATAAAGCCTGTGGAAGAACCTGCATTCTTGTGCTCTTAGATGACATCACTTTTCATGTAAACATCAGTTTCTTCTCCCACAAATTGGAGAAGACCCTTTACCGTTCAGTTACCTGCGTGCTTTCTTCCCCCTGAGGTCGGTGGAGACTCACCGAATGTTGAACTCATCACGTTGTCTTTGACGCTTCACCAGCTTCCACTCCGGCCTTGTTTTTGCTCATATTTCTGTGCCTTTCAAACCACCTCCCTTGCTTTACGTGTTACGCCGCCCTTTTGTGTTTTGTTTTTTTATCTGCTTCACCACACGTCTGAGTTCCTGGTTTCCGTGGAGACGTGGCATATCTGCTGATGCTCGCTCCATGAAAAACTTCCACCACACGTTTATAGAACTGGTAGCTTTCAGGCTTTTCTCTACTGAGTGAAAACATGGCCAGTTTACTTATCAACCGTAGTCTGTTCAGCTTTTCAGCAGTACGCTCAAATTCAAATGTCCTCAAGAGGCATGCTTAATCTGGACGAAGCTAGCAGATTTTTTTTTTTTTTTGTGCATGTTTTATATGTGAAGGGTTAGTTGGGTTAATTTAATCTTTTCAACATATGACAGTAGGTATTTGTTGTGAATGAAATGGGTACTAACAGTTCTCACACAGTAACTAGATGAACCATGAGCATTGATTTGGTCTTTATATTAGTCATATCACCAGCTAAAACCTGCCAAAACACTGGTACCGTGACATTTGAGCAGTCTCTCTGTGCAATACTAACAGCCGCTGTGCAGATAGTCATCAGACATAAAGTCAGTTAAATCCGGCTGCACTGGCAGAGTGACGCATGCCCGCATGTCACAGACAAAGTGACCCCATCACTGTCATTAGTCCATTTTCCAGCGTCTCTTTCTCCCTTGTTTACTTTGTCTTCCTCCAATTTGACCCCCGTGAAAAGCCAGTGTTTCACACAGCTCACAGCACTTTAATGAAGCAGTACCTTTATCTTAAAACACTGATGTTGGAGTGAGCAATAAACGGCTTTAATTTAGCGTAAACTGCTGTGCATTAGGTTCGGCGTCATGGGGAAGTGGAATGTACTTATAATGGGCCTTACCACAGACATGAGTTCAGTACAAACAAGCTGGGATTTGAAATATTAATGAATGTTATGCCATGACTTTCAGTCATTTTCTTTTCTTTAAACTTCATGTGATCGAATACGTGTCAATCTATTATTTGCTGCTTGCAGTAGGAAATTTTGCAAACTATTGAAGATTTTTATTTTATTTTCACATAAAAATGAATATAATGTACATATGAAGAAAATATATCCGAAATGTCAAATGTGCAGATGAGAATCTGAAAAACATAAAGTGTGCACCTTCTTCTTCAGTACTCATCTGCTTCGAGCATTCCACTGCAGTGATCACTGGAACCAACATCTATGATGTAAAGTCAGCCCAAAACTATAAATTAAAATTTTACTTTATAACACAACTGTGTCTGCTTATCGTGATTGAAGATTTGTGGCTTTTTCTGGTTTGTGTCTCTTACAAATGATCTTGCAGGACTTTCAGGCCACCTTTTCAAGGACCTTATTTGTGATGAAGAAAGGGCTAAACCAATCTGAGGGGAGCGGAGTAAAGCTGAGTAGGTACAACTGGAAATAGACTACAAGTGAGCCTGAAAGTGGCCCGGAGCACCTGGGGGCAGACAGATGTCAGTCCACTACTCTGATTCGGTACCCCGCACCACAAAACTTGGCGTCACCGAACATCTTTGTGGGACCTTTGGGGCTTTGCCAACAGTAACGTCACGTGCATGGCTGGGCATGGGTAGGGCTGGCATGGGGCTCCACTTTACCCACAGCCAAAGATTTGCCAAATTCTTTAGCATTGGACATCAAATAAAATGGTTCTCTTTTAGAGTGCCAGTAATGCCATGGTAGTTATCACGTAGCATAGAAAGAGCAGCCAGAATGAGCTATTTATGCAAGAAGTGAGAGGAGTTATTTTCAGCTAAAGAGGTCTGTGATCATTTAAAGTAGGTCCGTTGCCATTGGTAACGCTTGTTTTATGCTACAATAGTGAACGATAAGAGGTTAATGAGCAATGACTCATTAGTTAGCTATTAGTTACTTGATAATGATCATTACAACAGAATGAATGGACAATAGAATGGAAATGAATAGGCAGCAATAGCATTAAAACATTTTTGTTATGTTCTGTCATTATGGTCTGATGGTATCTTTTTTACATATAGATAGACATATACACAGGCATTAACCTACTGTAATATCAATTAGGTAAAATCTTTAAAAGAAGGACATTTTATCAATCTGTGAATATATAACCTATAACATCATACCCTTACTTTTAAATCTTGATGTGTAAATCTGCAAGTGTAATTTTTTTTTTATGGAAGGAACAATATCTGATCTAATCGAGTAATACTTTAATCTAAATCCACTGGTCTCATCAAAAACCTATTGAAGGCAAAATGTACTCTAAAGGAACATTTGCCAGGACATTTTTGTCCAGAAAGGGAGCGCCTCAGAGTAATAAAAATGAACATTGTTTTGAGCACCGCCACTCCCAAACGTAAAAACATAAAAGGAATGAACTGTGTACTTAGGGTGTAATAAAGTTAGAATGAAATGGGTGCCTACTTTAAATGTTGTTGTACTGCTCGGCTGGGCTTTACATGAGAGAGAA